TGCAGATTGACACACCTGCAGTAAAGCAAAGCAAAGCAAGGATCAGTCAACTTCATCATCAAAAAGATCATCTAAAAATTAACATTCTCGACTTATGCTTGGTTTGAGTGTGTATCTAGGTGTAAGGTCATTTGTAGCAAAGACTGCTATGGCAGACAGTGACAAAAATAAACACTGCATGGGAAGAACAGTGAAGGCCTTGCTAGCTGATAGTCAGAGGAAGCAGTTTGTGGTTAAATATTAAGTTAGACTAATACAAGTCTGCACTAGATAAACTATTGTCAAGTTCATGGAGGAAAGGGCAAAGACATCTAGGTTGTACTCATTAGCCTTGTCTATGATCGTTCAGGATGAGTTTTCTGTCATCATGTAAGAAGACAATTACCTTTTTCTCTATGTGTGTGTGCATCTGACTATAGGTCTAACCTGCTGCTTACAGTGAAGTGACCACTGATATCTGCTCAGACAGTCTCCATTCTGTGTACGTGCTTTTCCGTCTCTGCAGACATCGTACAGTTTGTGTACACACACATCTCCGTTGTCGGAAGGTTGGTAGCCGAGGGTACAGTGGCACCGCCTGTCACTGGTCTGCCAAAGAGGCAGCAGAGTCAAAACAGATTGTATAATGTTAGGTTCACTTTGCGGTCAGTTGTTACCTAATATGCTAATTCATCCATCCATTCATTCATTCATTCATTCACTGACAAAGCCTATACAACCATAAATGCCTAAAATGTTTCCTTCCTCCCTTAATTCCTTCTTTCCTCAATAAGTTGTCTTCCTTCATTAGACCCCTCTTTCCTTACTGCCTTCTTTAATTTTTCTTCATCTGTTTTTCCATCCTTCCTTCCATCCGTCTCCCTTCTTCCTTCATTTATTTCCTACATTTTTTCTTTCCTCTCTTAATTCCTTTCTTCCTAGATCAGTTTCTCCATCATGTTTTCCCTTCTTCCTCTCTTAATTCCTTCCTTCCTTCCTTCTTTTTATTAATTCACACCCATGCAACAGTCCGAGACAAAATCTCATTCGCCTTATTATGAGCTGATGAGTGGAGAGTTCAACACCCGTGCAAGCTGTAACAGCCTAGGAAACAGGACCGCACTGTGAGGGAACCTGATCTAGAGCTCTTTCAGCTTGAAGCTACAGATTGTTCAGTCTAAAGTTTCAGAGAAACAGTGAGGAAGCTACTCTCATATTAGTGTGCACAATGTATCCCAGGACTCAAGAGTGACACAAAAACAATCATAAGCCTGGGAAATTAGAGTTCTTCTTAGGATTTATAGAATAAAGGAGGAGCTCACAGGACAAAGGAAGTGGGAGACTGGTACAGTTGGAGGTGGTGGTGTTGTTATAAAAGCAAGGACTACACGGTCACATAAACACACCAGAGGGAACACACATGCTCCAGAAATGACTGGGTTAATCGTATCGTGTGAAAACCCCTTGTCACCTGGAAGCTCTGTCCCTCTCCCGGGCAGATGCAAGAGTCCTGACCAGAAAGAGGCTGCTGAGCCACAGGGCCACAGGGCAGGGAGGCAGGCAGACCCGGTCTAGGACAGTAGTGGTGAGGAGGACACTTCAGACAGCTGTCTATAGACACAGCACCAGCAGTTGGCCCATAGGTTCCCTTTGGACAGGGGACTGGAGTGAAGCTCCCCAAAGGACAGTAGAAACCTATTAGGAAAAAATGTTGTTTTCCAACATACAATTTGATTTTTTTTTTTTTTTCAGATTATTATTATTCAGATTGTAATTCTCTGTAAAGTTACAATATACCAATCACTGTTACTGGATTAATTAAAATACATATACAGTTACAATAACTGACCTTTGTTGCATGTTTCCTATCTAGCTCCACTATCACTATCTACTAATGGCTAAAAACGCTAAAAGTGATATACAAAAAAAATATTATGTAGATTGGAGCTGAGAGGGCAATTTGGCAAACATAAATCAGTAAACAAGTAATACTAAAAAGTACAGTAAACAATTAATAATAAACACATAGAAGTACAATACCAAATTCACAACTGCTTAAGCACATTTGTGTTATTTTGTACTGTATTGTTCTGTACTGTACTGTATCTAACTCTAACACTTGATCTAGCTATTAGTGGCACCTTTAGACCTCTGCCATGGTGGGGGCAGAGGGGGGAATACAATTAGTCAAACTTTAAAAACTCAAAACAAAATACAAGAATATAATGTAAAATATGCAGAAAAATGATATTTATCATAGAGTACATGCTATAAAAAGATAATTTTGTGCAGTCAGGACAGCCTACCTGGCTGGCAAGGCAGTCTCTCCTGGAACTCTTGACTGAAGTTGTTTCCACGAGCCAGAGTATTGAGCACAGCACTCAGCCACCACACACTTTTGAAACTTGTGCATCTGCATGTCCTTAGCATGGTTATTATGTCCACCTGCTCGATTCCAGATTCAGACAAAAAAAATGTATTTGCCATCCAGGATGTGTAAATAGTCTCTTGGTTGTCATAGCTAAGAATGTAGTTAAGAATATGCTGTAGCAACGTCACTGTCTTAACAAACGTCTCTTGTCTGATGTTGTTCTACACACATGTTCTTATCTGTCTGTTGGTAGACAGAGTTGCGAGGTAAGTTGTGGGCAAGTTATTCTGCATAACTTTCAGTGGCCTGCTGAATGATTTATGAGGCCCATGAGGTAAGGTGACAGTGACAGTGAAGGGACTGGTTGCTGGTGGAAAGCAACAGGGAAAACAGAGACTACAGCTGCCTGGTGCTGCCGGATCACATTACTGCATTTGTTCTTCTCAATCCTACCATGAAACTGATTAATGATTTGACTCCCTATGTACGTCAACACAGCTTTGCTTTAGAGGAGTCTTCTGAGCTCTATATGCGTCACAACTGCTGCTGAATTCACATAAAAATTCACATCTCAAACTCAGATATATGCTCACATATAACACCTGGCTTTATGCAAGCTAGCTGCAACTTTCAACTTCACTAAGTGACCCAATTTGACAAACACGTAATGAATATTCGTGATGTGTCTATTTGTGTTTAGTTGTTGATATTGGCTTGCAATCTTGAGGAATGCAATATAAGACTATGGTCAAGGTCTGTGTGGCAGTCATGTGCATCGATAAACATCTGTTGATAGCCAGCTGATAGTATAAATGCAGTGTAGTTCACAAAAATATTTCACCTATGCATTTATTTATAGGTTACCTGCATCTGGTACAAACGCATTACTTTATTTAGTAGTCAAAAAAAGTGTAAAAGTTTGACAAATTAAACTTTTTCCGTGTTTTAAACCTTTGACCTGCCTACAGTTCATCTGACAGTAATCTTAGCATGCCTATGTTCAACAACCAAGGACAGATTGTTAACCTTTGCTCTATATTCACATGAAACAGGAGACAAAATGTATTCAACTGTCCAATCATTTTAAAACATCAAGAGTTATGGAAATATTTTCTATAAATTCTTGCTTATGTGTGCATGTGTAGTCATGTATTTGTGAAACAAGGAGTTCTGTGATCACATGAGTTAATGTTGTTAACTTTTCAACAATCAACTGTACATCTGCAGAAAACATTCAAAAGTGCTGTTTGTGTGTACAGTAACCAAGTCAAGTCAAGTCAAGTCATACTTGACAATAAAGTTGACTTGACTTGACTTGACTAACCAAAGTCTGACTCACTGTACACTGTTATTGAATTTAAATACATGTTGGACTTTGGATAATTGGAATAACCTACATATTTCACCACGGTAAACCATGGACTATGATCCTTCAATGACGTCTCGTAACTTATCTAACCGAACAGGATTCAACTTTCACCCACATATACATGTCACTTGTGCTAAAACCCTCCAAATCACATTCACAAATACACTACAACTCAATAAGATCTTAGACAGGAGATCACTGGAAATATGAAGTCATTTTACGAGACTAATGCAGAAACATCGCACACTGCAAATGAGCTGACTTGTATATTGACTTCTTTTTGGTTTCGTGGTAACGGAGTTTAACACAATCAGCAGTGTTTACTCGGACTGTTATGTCCTGACTAGCAACACTGTTGACTGTCAAGCATCCAAAATAAGCCTTGACAATCAATGCTCTGTGAGCTGGTCCAAAACTGGATACACTGAATTTTTGCACAATTTAAAACATACAAAAACATACCAGCCCACTTCAATTCTTGCATAATCTATTAAAAAGCTACCAAAGGCACAGTGGGTCAAACAAGTGACCCCACTGTAAATATTCATTTCCTGGCAAAGTAGGCCTTTGACGTAAGAAAAAACTAAAATCAACATACAAACTTGAACTTGTTGAACCTTTCTGGGCTGCTCCAATAAACTTTTACCTCATTTTCATTTTTTATTCGGATTAAGACTTCAAAAGCATGATTGAATTTGCTGCAATCTTTCTATATCATTATTATAACATTATTCTTATCTTATTGCAATATTTTTATTCCTATTCTCATAATATACTTATAGTCAATCATAATTTTTTCTAACCCCTTTGAGACTCGATCTTAAAGTAGTGCGCCCTTATTGACATGATATAATTTCCTTAAACCAGTGTTGTAAAAATACTGATAAGTTTTATGAGGATACAGATGTGGATGCTAGAGTGGCATGACCTCACTCGGTTTTTGTGTGTGTGTGTGTGTCTGTGTAGCTCTGTGTCTCTATGAATGTTGTGTTCTGTCATCACTGTGACCCTCCACGTGTTGACTGTTGACACAGGCAGAGTTTGGGCAGCCGCTCTGATAACAAGGACCTTTATAAGTCAGATGAGAGGAGAAGCCACTCTTCAGACCCCTGATCCTCAGGTAAAGGTCTCAGCCAAATTTTCACATATAGATCTTCTTGTCTGAGAAATGAATGTATGTAGAAGGAATGACAGATCATTTATAGAAAATTTTCAGTATTCAGTCATTTGTTTGTTCTAATGTGAAATTCTTATGTATTTCTTTCATCTGTCCATCCACAGAAAAATGAACATGCATCTGAAAGTCTTGATCTTCACGCTGTCATTTTTGACAACTTCAGGTATAGATTACTCCCTCAAATGCTGTTTAATATTCTTAATCTGCCATGTACTTCTTTTTTTAATGTCTGTTTTCTTTGTCTATAGCATACCCACTCCACCGTAACACTAGGGAGGCAACCTGGACTGATTCAAAGACCAACCAGGCTCATGATAAGACAGAACTTACAAAGGATGTGGAGTAAGTTGACTGAACTAAGTAAACTAGTGAAATAAACATGCAACTCAAGTCAAGGGGAAATATTTAAAGAGAATAAATGTCAAAACACTTTCAAATTTTTGTCTCTCTTTGCTCAGTAGAATCTACAAGACCCACATAGACAGCAGTGGCCTTTACGACCAAGACAATCACAGCAAAAATCATGTGGCAGAAGAGATGCAACGCAAGCTCAACCTGGAGTCAGAGCGTCTGCGTGCCCGTCTGCGCCAAGAGTTGGCCGAGCTGCAGGAGAGGTTGTCTCCATCTCCAGCGCACCTCAGCTCCACCTTGGCTAGCATGAGGGAGCGCTTGGCTCCCCTCACCCAGCAGCTCCAGAGCTCTCTCAGCAGCAATACCCAAGATCTGTGTGGCCAGCTGAGTCTCTATCTGCAGGGCCTGGAGACAGCAGAGGCCCAGGCTGAGGCCAGTCCCACTCTCTACCAGGAAGCCTTCCACTGGATGAGCCAAACCCTGGAGCACAGCAGCTCCAAGGTGGCCGATATCATCAGCGACTTTCATACTAAAACCGTTGGGGTGATCGAACATCTGAAAGAGATCAGCGCTAGTGAGGAGGAGTCAGCCAAGCCCGAGCTCTGGAGGGAAATTAGCTCCAGGTTGGGACAGGAAGTTAGTTCACTGAGGGTGGAGGCGCAGAACAGGGTAGAGGCTCTCAAAACAGAGCTTGCTGCTCTGCTAGAAACTGCACAGCCTCGTAGGGCTGAACTGACTGCCAGTATGGAGCGGTTCTGCCAAAATGCAGCCCTGCAGAGCCAAGTGTTTCATGCCCGGATAGAGAGGCTGTTTCAGGGGCTGGAGGAGGAGCTGGAGGTCCAGGGAGCCTCAAGCTTGTCTCCTTCTTCCTCCTCATCCATACAGCCAGGTGGATCTTTGCAGGAGGACTTTTCAATTAAACTCTCTGCTCTGATCCAAGACATTCTGCACTCAGTCTAGTGGCAGAGACAACAAAATACTAATTAACTGCCATTATGGTCACATTAAAGTGATTCTTGTAATCTTCATTCTGTATGTGAATGAGTGTATTAATGTCAGTGTATATTTACGCTATGTAAAAAGATGCTGCTTTTGAAGAGAAAAGTTGTTGATGATTTTAAAATTGCACAATATCGAGTACAACACCAACCTGTTTTCAAACTTTATTTATAATTTTTGCAAAACATAGAAACAAGTCTGACTAACATACTGTAGATTCTAATGTGCTCAACAATATATTTTAAGTGTTTTACGCAGTCTAGATTCTGAACAAAAACGTACAAACTGATAAGACTGTCAGTGGACTGTTCAGAAAAGAGACCGTTGTCAAAGAAAATTTATGACATAAAATATTTAGTTAATGTTTCTTTTTTTACACATAGTTCAGGTTTAACTGTTCCTTCATAACCAATGAGTGACTCCTGAATGCAGATGCAGTAAGTAAAGACAGAAAAACTTATATAAGACACCAGTGTCAAGAACATGTGATAATGAATGCAAAGTGACAACATTATCAGATTTTGTGTTCTCCCGATAAATATTACAGTATGGTATGAGATGACGAGGCAGTTGATCCATCAGTCAAAGGCATGAGGTAATCCTCCCACCCAATAAAACTTCTTCAGGACAAACCAGCCTCCCAGAACCAGCAAGACAGCAGCAGCCGAGCCAAACACCACCCCCACCACCAGGCCCGTCACATTCACATCATTCTTCTCTGATGCCACGTCATTACCTGATGCACGCAGGGGGAGATTAATGGAGATTACTTTTTGGGTTGTCGTAAAATATTAATATTAAGATATTAAGATGTATTTCTAGAATGATGAATGTGATCAAGGTATACTCACTGTAGGCAGCTGCATATGGCCTGTCTGCAGTAGAGGAAGATAAGAAAGAGAGTCAGTGAAAAAGTCACCTTTTTATCATGGTTGACTAGAGTGGTGTTTTTTTTTTTTACTGGGTCTAACCTTCACTGGCAGTGTAAAGAGGTCCAACTGAAACAGTGGCAGAATCTGTGGTTTCTTCTCCAAAAGGAGTCAAAGATCTTTTTCTTCTGTTATTACAGGCCTGAAAAACAGCAATCAGTCAGTTGGGTTGAGTTTGACCTATGTTGTATGATGTAAACTATGTCTTATATAATATACATTTTAAGTTAAGGAAAAGGTTCTAAATTGAAAAATAAACAATGAAGACAAACTGGGGTGGCCTGGGGGTTCAAGGTGCCAACCATGAACCACAACGTCCCAGGTTTGAATCAGTCCAAGGACTTTTGTGGCAGTCATTTCCCATCTCTACATTTCTTTCATGTGGCTCAACAATGAGTTTAAATATATTCTATTTCTATAGATTTATTTCTGTGTTCATCAACTGCTAAGAAGCAGAAAACAGGTAAGTTAAATACATGGTAATAAATTGTATCATTCAAATCTTTGCCCTACAAACACTACCATGGGGTACCTTTGGAAGTTGCTCGATACTTTCTCTGATGTCTTTAAAGTAAAATCATTTTGTTCTTGACTTCTGAACTTACAGACAGCAGCTCTTGGCATTTGCTGGGCTCACAGAGTCTCATTATGCAGTGCAGATAGATGCTGGATTTTGCTTGGTCACGGTGCTGAACAAAGCGGAAGGCCTCAAAGTTAAATCGGGCAGTTTTGGAAAGGCCATTGCTTGTCACAGATGTCCTTTCGTCAACTGAACAACTAGTGGAGAAAATAATTATTTATATATATAGTTCTTTTTTCTTTTTCTTTTTTTATAAATATGTAGAAGTTATATTATTTGCACCATGTATGAAGATATTCTAATAATAGGTGCTTCCATACCCGGTGAAGAAGTTGTGCTGCTCACTGTGCGACGTGTTGTATGCAGTGGGAGTGCCAAAGCAGTGATCCAGCAGTACATGGAAACTAAAAACAGGACGGTTGGCAAACGAGTTACTATTTTCCAGAAGAATGCTTATTTAAATATTTATTTTCAGATAAGCCAATTCACCATGAGCATGAGTATTGCTTACTTTCCAGTGAGGTTTACAGCCTTGACCTCCACATAGACCCTGGTTCTTAGCTCCAGTCCTGTTGAAGGTACCACCAATGGGTAGCTAAAGTCGGTGTCCTGAAGAAATAAGACATCAGTGTAAAATAAGTCAAGAAAAAAGGCTCTATTAGGGAACTGAATCCCAACTTGTACTTACATTAAAAACGCCCATTTTTAGTGTATCAATGAAGGTTCCATTATTATCGCTGGTCGCCACAGAAACTGAGGAGCTAAATGATCATGGAGGAGAGAATTACTACATGCACATGTCAACTTCATGTGTTCAGACATTTACAGCTTGGTCATAGAAATCATCATAGAAATATCCCCTTTGTACAATGTAGGGTTTTTTTAGGATGGACAGTTACTTACGCCACAATCTGTGTGTTGTTGATCAGGTACTCCAGTGGGTAGCGGCAGGAGAAGTGATAGTAGAGGTCTGTGGAGTAGCTTATCAGCCCCTGGTCAGCTCTGGGTGTGTCAATGTACCCAGTAATGATGACTGACTGGATAGTTAAGAAACTGCTGAAGGGACCTGCAGGGTCCGGGGCCTCATCCACAATCTGAACAAGACAACAATCACATGACCTTCTTCTATATTGCCACATAACACTAAATTCAAATCTAAATCCCTGTTGCAGTGAAACCACTAGAACTACTTGTCCATTTGAATATATGACAACATCTCCCTAATCTTTCCAGTCACATTATTACAGTAGCATCTTCTACAAGACCCATCCTGACCTGCAGAGACTGGCGACAGGGATTATTCTGACTGTTGTTAACATGAAGCTGGTAACGGATGACTGGGGGATTCACACTGTTGTCGACATCACCCAGACACATCGTAGTGTTGTGGTTCCCATTCAGAGCCAGGTCTGTGCTGTTGAAACCTGCCCACTGAGCTGTGCACAGATTGATTTCCAGGGTGATCATACTGGTGCCACACTCAACTGCCAGGTCAGAATTGTCTGTGAAAGAGGGACAAAGACAAACCAAGGAGATATAAAGGATAGAAGCAAGGTTTTATGTCTGAATACTGTGCCATTTTGAGGCAAAATTCAAATGATGATCCAGTTTCTGCTGGAAAGTCAGAGATGAGAAAACGTCCATAACATTAAACAGCGGGGAAAGGCAACCTGTCTAACAGTTAACCCACCTGGGGTCCTCTTATACTCAGATGAGCAGTTGTAGAGACACAGAGCTGGCTGCAGCAGCACAACCAGCAGAGGGAGACAAAGGTAAAGAGTCATGCTGTCTGGAGGAGGCTCAGTCAGACTGATCAGTGCTGTATTTATGTGGACAAAAAATAACAATAAGAACAATAATAAACAACAAAATACTTCTAAAATAACATTTTCAACTGAGTCAGAGCAAATGTAAAAACATACTAGTGATTATTTACAAAAAACTTAAATTGATAAAGTATAATTTTATGTGACTATAATTTTCATTATCAAATGATGTTGCACATTTGTTTGTGCGTAGCTGAAACTGTTTATAATTTTATTCTTAATTTCTATTTAAAGCAATTTAAAATGAATGAATTTCAAATAGAGACCTAGAGACAACCATAGGAGGGTCTTACCTTGGCTGGTACCTGAGCAGGTGTCATACAAGCAGTCACATAATGTGACTTTTATAGTGTTTGACAGCCTCAAGACACCTAAAACCACAGAGGTGTGACTCTCAAGCCATATCTTCAACTAATTATAGACCCCTATGTGCACACACACACACACACACACACACACACATACTGTGACTTATCATTTAGGCAGCAGCAGCAGCTCCTGGCAGGGTTTACTGTCAGATCTTAACCTAGTGGATTAATGTGTCAGTGGGATTTGACACAGATCCCCCAGGTTAAGTACAACTGATGTTTCAGGTTTCCATCTATCAAAAATTGTATTGAAGAACAGAGGTGAAAGTTACCGTTGTTGGCTGGTTGTGCTGAGGCAAATGAGATTTAAACTTGGATGCAATGTACAAATTTATTGGTAAGTAAACTTGTTGCACTTCAGGGAAAGAACTGTATTTTAAAAATATGGATATAATAATTGGCCATGAACACATTTAATCTATACGTCATTTAACCAAATACCAAATTCAATCACTAAAAACCTGCAGGATCTTGATCAACACACCACAGTGAAATGCTAGTGGTAAAACAAACACTTAAAAGAGAAATGACTAAAACTTGCAGAATTAATGCTAATTTTGATTATACTGTATAACGCCTTTAAGATAAGATGTTCCTTTATTGATCACCCGTGGAAGAAATTCAAGTTTGACACAACAGCACAGGGGAAATGTAGTGCAAAAAACATTATAAAGATATAATAGAAAACATAAATACTATAATGATAATATATCAGTAACATTTCCCAAGTTATAAAAAAATCACTGTGTTGAGATTGGCTGTCTTAAGAAAGAAACACCTTGAATGCCTGAAAGGTGATCATGTTTGCCATAAGCTATAAAGTACCAACCATGACCAACCTTTGTTAATATACCTTGCATGCCAAACCACTCCTCTATTGTCTCCACAGACTTGCATTGCAGGTTGTCGCTGTACAGTAGCTATAGGCCACAACAGTTACTGCTCAACTGAGAAGCCCTATTGTCCCTCACAAATATAGAATAAAAAGGAGCATTAGTTTTTTTTTGCAAAAGTGCCCATGGTGAGAGAAGACATTTGTTACTCTATCCACAGATGCGTCACCCTTTTACAATCTCTTCAGTTCTTGCCTGCGTCTGAGGATTTTACCTCACAGGACACCTTAAAAACAACTCATTCACCATTCTTCTGCACTCTGATCACGTTCTCCATTGAATTTTCCTTTAATCGTTCTGGCTGCAGGGATAGAGATAATGTCTGCATGGAGATGTCTAGAAAATGCTCGCCTGTCCATAGTTCAAAGGGTCAAGATAAAACTAATAAAATAACTCATAAATTCAAAAATCATGTGAACTGCTAATAGCGCAGTTTATAATATGTTACATTTGAAAAATAACATACCACCGCTCTCCAATGAACTATGTATCTACAATTCAAGGGATAGACAAGTAGATAAATAGATGGGTGAAATGGGTGAAGAAGTTTCTTTTTTGATAAGCTGAACAAATAATAAAAAACAGTGCAAATGATAGTAAGGAGACATTGTTTTATAGACCAGTCATAATAGGTTTTACTGGTGTGAAAATAACAGAAAATATAATAGCAAGATAACGATATTAATATATTGTTAATAGAAGATAACATGATAGAGATTAGCCATAATCAGGTTAAATGTTGAATGTCTGTTTTGTCTAATAATAAAATTGTACAATAAAACCCATAACCATCTTCTAGGAAGACTTAAGTCAGAAAGACCAAATAAAAGGATTATTATGACAGTGTGCTTAGTGATAAGTGTACACCTTCACTGGTTCCTTTCAGCAAGAACAACAATGGTTGCTGACATACAATCACAGTAGAAAATAAGTCCCAGGGCAGGACACAGATTTATTTTTGAAAGAAAGAGGATACGCTGGGAAGCTTGTAAGGAGACGGTACTTTGTGTGGGCAGAGTACAGTAAAGTAGATCATTAGTGTAGCTAATGACCCCTCAGGTTGTGAATATAACATATCACGTAGACAACTAACGGAGTGGTAATGTTTAAAAACAGTGACATAATTATGCTCTTTAACATAATACATTTAATTTGCATAATTTAGTGTCATTCAGTGGTGGAAGCAAATTTTGGTAAAAGTACTATAGAACAATGTCCCCTGCGACTAATGTGTTGTTATATGTGACAACGTTAGATTGTTATGCCTGAATATGTATGTAGCATTTTACTTTTGTAGCTGTTCTTTAAATAAAGTTGGCTATTTCAGTGCAGTGGTTTCCAAACAAGGGGACTTATGATTTATGGGAGAGGAAAGAAGTAAAAAGTTCTGCTCAATATATAATATTTATTTCTCTTAATGTGTTGTATTTTCTCTAATCTTTATTTTTTGAGAAATACTGGATAATTTGAACAGTTGTATAAATGCAGGATGACAACTGCAGCACTTGACTAAATCTTAGACCCACAACAAAAACATTGGTTAAATATTGGTGTTGTTAAAGTAATGCAATAAAAGTATGATATTTCTATCTGAAATGCAGTGGAGAAGTATAAAGCAGCATGAAGTGAAAATATGACTTTAATAATTACTACATAAAATTGTGCTTATGTACAGTACTTCAGTAAATGTATGTACCGGTAATTACTTTCTACCACTGAGGTCATTGGGCAACAACCAATTAGGTGTAATTTCATGAGTAGTTTGGTGTCATCTGGTGGCCAAAGTTAGACAGAGCTTAAACAGAGCTTCTTGTTGTCTGTGTCTAATAGACTTTTGAATCACCAGCGTTGAGGAGTGCAAGCCAAGAGACACAACTTCCTCCTCAACCAACAGACAGCACAGTGACTGCCATTGTGTATTTGTCTCTCAGGAAAACGCCAACAGATATCCATTCCAGTAAACAAAAGAGGTAGAAAATAATCTGGAATTAACAAACACAGAAAATAAAGTCATGTTTTGTTTTGTTTTTGTCTTTTTATTTGTGCTATACAATACAAAAGCAAAAGATACATACTTAAGAAACAAAAGCCAACAACACCTAATATAACTGAAGAGAGTACTAGACGATAAAAGAATAATTAAAAAAATAGAAAGAAACATTGTCCCAGTACAACAGCAAATTTGGAAATCCCCTTAATGTGAAGTGGTGTCCTTGGAGGCCACAATCCCTTAAACATAATCCCCAATATTTTTCATATTCAGCCTTTATGACCTGGGTTCTGAAATACCTGTTTTTGACATCCTAGTAAAACTCTTTCCAGTTTGGGCTTTTTATGTTAGTTTGTGGCCAGACAAGCAAGTTTCATCCCATTTGTTTGTTCAATTCCAGCTCCCACCTTTTTCTTTAGTTTTTTTACAACCCAAATAGTTTTTATAAATAGAGTTTATTCTTTTCTTGTGTTGTTCTTCACATTGTATGAAAATCAGTTCTATATTAAAATAATATATATCTTAATATGTTTTCTTTTTATTCTTTCTTATGTGTCAAATAATTGGCTGATATACACCAGTCCCCTGTTCCTCCATTTATAAATCAGTGGTAGATGAATTAAATTCAGGATTTATTACAATTTTGGTCTAAATATTGAGTTTGAAATTCTTAGATTATTCTTATTTTACACCATAGTATCTCAACTCATTCATTCTTTACTTTGAGTTTTTTCCACTGAAAAATAATGTTTTGTCCTGCAACAACCGGGCAAAGTGGGCAACCGCTCCAGGGCACCGAAAGCTCTGGGCTTACTAAATGTTAAGTGTTTGTACTAATTAAATTGAGATTTTGTATGTGACAAGTGTCAACTAACATGATAATGACCATAAGGTGGATCCTGACCTTGAGGTCTTGGAAAAGGGTCTCTGTGTCAAAATCTAGTTATGATTAGTTTTCGTACAATGTTGCACATTCCTGAATTATTTGGTATTTAATTAAATTACCACATTGCAAATCTGGGTCCATGGAAAAACTGAATCGGAGACTAAATCTGACAATGTGTCTGCCCAAATCCTGAAATAGAAGTGTTTATGTACAAAAATGCCTTCTCACAGGATCTGTTCATACATCTGTTTATACAATGATTTGTATGAAATGCTATCTTTTTTTATTTGTGGTGTGGCCATGCTGATTGGTGTGGCTGTCTAGTGTCTTGTAAGCCCACATGGGCTCAAATATACAAATCAATCAATATACAGTTTGCACATGGTGTTTTTGATTACACAGTAACACCTGTATATACAGTCCGACATTAAAGCCCTGTTGTGAAATTATCTGCGGTGCATTCCTGTTTTGCCCAACAATAAACACACTGATGATGTGAGAAAAGCTCAACAGGGGCTGTGTTTGTAACAGTCACAGCTCTTCATCACATGACAAACATTTGCGTGCACTGGCCAATAATCAAATGAACTTTAGAGGCTTTGATAGACCAAAACAAGGAAAAATCATTCCAGGTCACACATGACAAGCATTCGGAGGCTCAGTCTGTCAACAAGACTCCTGCATGCAAGACACAATTGTGTTACCAGATGAGGGAGACAGACAGAAAGATGGCCTGAAGCCAGGTAGTAGACAACAGACCTACACAGAAAAAACAGGCTGTGATTGTCTGTCCTCTCTGGGCTCTCTATGGAGAGGAGCTGGTGTTTATTACTCTGCTCCCAAAGTCATCTGTTGATGGATGTTAAAAAATCATACAACACAAAAGGAAGATTAACTGCGGGCAGTGGTGAGGTCTGTGTGTGTCTATTTGTGTTCTGTCTTGTAACCTAAGATTTAAATCTTTCAACATATCTGATCTTCATATACATTGTGTTACAGTACTAGATTCAGTAACATGGGCAACAAACTAGGCGTGAGAGAGAGAGCATAGACTGGCAGACATCATTGTTTTTTGCTT